CTCGGCTGCTTCAGCGCCACATATTGGTCAAAGGAATCCAAACTTGTTCCCTCAGAAATCTCATCCACACACGTCCACGCTTCAGGCTCCATTAACTCCAAGTGTGAAGAGAATACGATCGGGCGCACTAAAGCGTAAGGAGCAAGAGTAAAGGAAGACTCTTGTGGCCTCATGTGTCCCGCTCACAAACTTTTTTCTCACTGACAACTCAACCCGGCAAGTCTCCTCCTGTTGCTAACTCCAATAACGTAAACGCTACTAGCCAAGCAAATGTTAGCCAGGAGCACCCAGCTAACTCCGTGAAGGAAAGCAACAGTGCTGATGAGGATGGTGAGGTTGAGAATGAGATCAATGAAGACACAGCTGGTGATGGAAGTGGAAACTGTGAGGATGATGATGATATTGATAATGTTGATGATGACGGTGATAGGCCTATGGAAAATGCTCCTGCTGAGCTAATAAGGGATGAGGCACTCTCCCTTTCCTCCAATCTGTTTACATCGGTCTCAGGTGGCACCGACACTACGACAGGTGGTCACCCAACAACATCTGTTTCAAACTTAACACTGAAAGTAGAGGAACTTGGACCCCTAAAAGTTGAGATACCCCTACCCGAGGTAGAATAAAGCACGACCATATTTTTTCATAACCTGAACATGTCTAGTTTATGAAACGGATTGTTGTATAAAAATATTTTACTGCAAAATAACTTTTTTTGGATGTTTTATGCATCTTACCAAAAAACAAAAATAGGTTAAATTAGGGCTTCTCCAAAAGGGACAGCTCTAGCCTTATCACATGTATCTCTGGGAATCAGAATCAGAATGTCACCAAATTTGGACAGGATGTTCACAGATAGTTATTAGTTACAATTAAGCAAAGTTTTTATCAATACCATTTTCAGTTTTTGAATTTTTCACACTTAAACACACATGTAGTTTAGGCGGAAATTGAAAATTGAAACAAAAATGTAAAAGGTATGTATATCAAAGTCTGTCATTTTTTAAGTAAGTACACCAAACATTAAAATATGTATTTTTTTTATCTTCTTTAGACTATTATCTCAACATAAAAGTTATATTGTCACCTATGACATTGTTTCTATTTCATTATAAAAAAATTAAAGCATTGTCTTGACATCAGTTGTGAATTATTAATGAACTAAAAAAACAGTATTGATATATTTAACCTTGAGTTCTTAGAAATTAAATATACTTGTAGTTTTTTCTTTATGTATTTCAGTCATATAAAGATGGTGTGTAGTCAACATATCTCCTGCTTTTAAAAAGAACCCTAGTTACTTCAGGGGATACACTGGATGAAGGGATAGTTTTTATAATACCCTAAGTATGATAAAGTGTTAAAAAAAGCTACGACAGCTATTTTTGTTGAATGATTTATCAGGCAGCTCGGATACAAAACAATTCTTATGATGGCTTAAATGTGTGTGAGGTGAATTAGGATAACAATCATGCAAACATGTTTATAAGAAACTTCTTTATACACTTATTTTACCTCATTATATATAATGACATTTGATTTTAAACGCTAATTACAAAGGATGATTTCCACTTTTAGACAAAATATGACTGTGAACCTGAGAGCTTAACACCTTGCAACTAAAAACCTTTGTGTCACACTAAGCATCCCCTGGGGACAAAGTTTGACCTCTTATCTCACAGGAGCTTTAAGAAAACAATTGCTGCAGAAAAGAACCATCAACAAAGATAACCAACCAAACAAAAATAACACAACCAAATCAGGACAACATAACCAAATCAAGACACCACAACCAAATCAAGACACCAAGACAACAGAACCAAATCAAGACAACAGAACCAAATCAAGACAACACAACCAAATCAAGACACCAAGACAACACAACCAAATCAAGACAACAGAACCAAATCAAGACAACAAGACAACATAACCAAATCAAGACATCACAACCAAATCAAGACACCAAGACAACACAACCAAATCAAGACAACAGAACCAAATCAAGACAACACAACCAAATCAAGACACCATAAATCAAGACAACAGAACCAAATCAAGACAACACAACCAAATCAAGACACCAAGACAACACAACCAAATCAAGACAACAGAACCAAATCAAGACAACAAGACAACATAACCAAATCAAGACATCACAACCAAATCAAGACACCAAGACAACACAACCAAATCAAGACAACAGAACCAAATCAAGACAACACAACCAAATCAAGACACCATAAATCAAGACAACAGAACCAAATCAAGACAACAGAACCAAATCAAGACACCACAACCAAATCAAGACACCATAAATCAAGACAACAGAACCAAATCAAGACAACAGAACCAAATCAAGACAACAAGACAACAGAACCAAATCAAGACAACAAGACAACAGAACCAAATCAAGACAACAGAACCAAATCAAGACATCACAACCAAACAAAGATAACACAACCAAATCAAGACACCACAACCAAATCAAGACACCATAAATCAAGACAACAGAACCAAATCAAGACAACAGAACCAAATCAAGACAACAAGACAACAGAACCAAATCAAGACAACAGAACCAAATCAAGACAACAAGACAACAGAACCAAATCAAGACAACAGAACCAAATCAAGACAACATAACCAAATCAAGACAACACAACCAAACAAAGATAACACAACCAAATCAAGACATCACAACCAAACAAAGACAACACAACCAAATCAAGACAACAAGACAACAGAACCAAATCAAGACAACAGAACCAAATCAAGACAACAAGACAACAGAACCAAATCAAGACAACAGAACCAAATCAAGAAACCACAAACAAATACAGACTACAAAACTGTATATTGTACTTTAAATGGTACACAGCCAAATGTAGAAAACACAACCAAATATATACAATAGAAAAGATTGCACACGGCAAAACTTACGCAGGCATCAAAATCAATTGTTCACTTACTGGTTTTAGTCTGATGAGCATTTAGCGTCTGATCAACATTGCCCTGCCTCAAAAGATAATAGTCCCCTTCAGATTCTACATACACACACCTCACACATTCACACACTGATGGTAGAAGCTGCCGTGTGAAGTGATCATCAGAAGTAACTCATGCCAAAGGACACATCGGACATGTGGCTGCATGTGGAGCTGGGGATCGAACCCCCGACCTCTTCTTCCAGTGGAGAGACGGCGACTCTACCACCTGAGCCCCAGCGGTCCTAAGATGACCCCAGAGAGGTGAGAGCAGACGACCCCGAGGTAATTAGAGACGGTATGACTTTTAGGCTTCACTTTTGTCTAAAGTGTTGCCACAAAATCTGAAGCACACTTGCAGCTTGGTATAAACAAAAAACTACAAATCCCACTGTTCATCAGAAAGCAAAGAACTGATGGAGAAAATGAGGATATAGAAGAAACAGGGGCAAAACACACACACACACACACACACACACACACACACACACACACACAGACACACACACACACACACACACACACACACAGACACACACACACACAGACACACACACACACACACACACACACACACAGACACACACACACACACACACACAGACACACACACACACACACACACACACAGACACACACACACACACAGACACACACACACACACAGACACACACACACACACACAGACACACACAGAGACACACACACACACACACACACACAGACACACACACACACACACAGACACACACACAGACACACACACAGAACACACACACACACACACACACACACACACACACAGAGACACAGACACACACACACACACACACACACACAGACACACACACACACTCACACACACAGAGACACAGACACACACAGAGACACACACACACACACACACACACACACACACACACAGACACACACACACACACACACACTCACACACAGACAGTCACACACACACACACACACACACACACACACACAGACACACACACACACACAGACACACACACACACACACACACACACACACACAGACACACACACACACACACACACACACACACAGACACACAGACACACACACACACAGACACACACACACACACACACAGACACAGAGACACACACACACACACACACACAGACACACACACACACACACACACACACACACACACACACACAGACACACAGACACACACACACACAGACACACAGACACACACACACACAGACACACACACACACACACACAGACACAGACACACAGACACACACACAGACACACACACAGACACACACACAGACACACACAGACACACACACACACACACACACACACACACAGACACACACACACACACAGACACACAGACACACACAGACACACACACACACACACACACACACACACACACAGACACACACAGACACACAGACACACACACACACACACACACACACACACAGACACACACAGACACACACACACACACACACACACACACACACACACACACACAGACACACACACACACACACACACACAGACACACAGACACACACACACACAGACACACACACACACACACACACACACACAGACACACACAGACACACACACACACACACACACACACACACACACACACACACACACACACACAGACACACACACACACACACACAGACACACAGAGGTGACTGTGACGTCAAACCGGAGCCCAGCTGACTCCCTCTCTGCACATCTCCTCCACGCGGCTGCTGCTGCTGCACGCCCTTTAAACACTGAGGAGGAGAAGAAGAAGAAGAAGAAGAAGAAGGAGGAGAAGAAGAAGAAGAAGAAGAAGAAGGAGGAGAAGAAGAAGAAGAAGAAGAAGAAGAAGAAGAAGAAGAAGGGGGGAAAGAGAGACGGCTCACCGGAGGAGGAGGAGGATTGTGACGGAGGATTGTGTGTCTTTGCACTGCCCCCCCCCCCCCCCCCCCCTCTCTCTCTCTCTCTCTCTCTCTCTCTCAGTCAGCCAGGTGTTGCATTCAAGCGCGAGCCCCTCGTGTGTGTGGATGGAGAGGCTCGAGGAGGAGGACTGACACTCTCGAGCCGTTTGAGCAACAACAAGTTGATGAGTGAGACTCTCTCGTGGATCTGGACCAAACGGATACTATCAAGGCTTTTTGTGGGGGGTGGGGTCTTCTCTGACCTTATGGGATATATCCTTTAATGGCACGTTTTACGAGGGTCCGGAATAAAGTCTGCATTCTTTTCTTTGATCCGCAAGAATGACAAAGTAACCGGAACCAGCTGTGCCAGCGCAACATTTGGGGATTTTGAAGACCCTCTTTCTGACGTGTCTGACTCGGCTTCACACACATCATCATCATCTTTGTTTCCTCGCGGATCCCGGGCTCTCCGTGACGCCGCGGCACCCTGATGGTGCGGACGGTCGGCGCACGGTTGATTTTTGAGCCTCCAGCACGGAGACGCGGTGCGCGGTGGTGGTGATGATGATGGCGCTGATGGTAAGTGGATAACGTGGGACATGCTTTTCTAAAAACCGTGTCGGATTTATGTGCTGTTTCCTCCTGTGTGGAATAACAATGACCTCCAACCGCGCTTTACCCCGCGCCGCGCTCGCCGCAGCAGCAGCCCGGTTCGATGCGCAACCACTGGACGTCGTCTCCCCAAAACCGCTGAGCTAACTCACACACCGCGGAGGAGAAGGAGGGGGTGACATCAACCGACACTAACCGATAAGACAATAACAGCAACAACAAGATACACAGCAGTGATGGAGCTGTCCGAGGTCCGCTGCTCCAGCGCGAGTGAGGAGCTGTACACCATCAACAAGACGCCGAGCGGCAGCAACAACAGCAACAGCAGCGGCAGCAGCGGCAGTGCGCGACCCAAACGGCTGCTGTGGCAGAACGCGGTGCGGCACATCACCGAGCAGAGGTTCATCCACGAGCAGGGCGGAGGAGGAGGAGAGAGGAGGGAGGAGGAGGAGGAGGCGGGGGGTGAAGGGCATCGGGCCGGACGAGCCCTACGACCCGAGCGAGGGCGCGCGGAAGCACTCGGCGGGGCGGACCGGGTCGGTGGGGGACCGGCACAACAACGGCGGGACCAAGGTGTTCCCGGAGCGCGCCAGCAGCGACCTGGGCTTCCTGCAGATCGACTGCGCGCCCAGCAACTCGGACTTCTTCCTGAACTGGGGCTACACGTACCGGGGCGTCATCTTCCCCACGCTGCGCAACGCCTTCAAGTCCCGCGACCTGGAGCGCCTGTACCAGCGCTACTTCCTGGGCCAGCGGCGCAAGTCGGTGGTGGTGATGAACATCCTGGACGTGGTCACCAAGCTCACCCTGCTGGTGCTGCACCTCACCCTCGCGTCCTCCCCCATGGACCCCATCAAGGGGACTCTCCTGGGCTTCTTCACGGGCATCGAGGTGGTCATTTGTGCCTTAGTGGTGGTGCGGAAGGACACCACGTCGCACAGCTACCTGCAGTACAGCGGCGTGGTCACCTGGGTGGCCATGGCCACGCAGATCCTGGCAGCCGGGCTGGGCTACGGGCTGCTGGGGGACGGCGTGGGGTACGTGCTGTTCACGCTGTTCGCCACCTACAGCATGCTGCCCCTGCCGCTCACGTGGGCCATACTGGCGGGGCTGCTCACCTCGGGGCTCCACATCCTGGTCCAGATGCTCATGTCCCAGAATGCACAGCTGTCCACCAACCAGGTAGATCTCACGCCCTTCTCCTAATCTGTCCTCCCTTCTCCATTTACCTATTCCTCCTTCCATCCTTCCTTGTGTGTCCCCTTAATCCTCTCCCCTCCCCTTCAGTTATCGTGCACCCCGCTCGTTTCCTATTCTCCTCTCCTCTCCTCCTCCTCTCCTCTCCTCCTCCTCTCCTCCTCCTCCTCCTCTCCTCTCCTCCTCCTCTCCTCCTCTCCTCTCCTCTCCTCTCCTCCTCTCCTCCTCTCCTCCTCTGACCTCACGCCTCATTTATTTCTCCATCCATCGTTGCATCCTCCCCCTAATCCTCCTCTCCCCCCTTCCCTTTCTCCTCTCCTCATTCAACATATACTCCTTAAAGTCCTCCCATCTCCTTCTCTTCCTCTCCTTTATTTACCCCGTCCTCCTCATGCTGCTAATTGTTGATTCCTTACACCTTCTCCCTGGCTCCTCTTCTCGCTCTCTCAATCATCATCCCCCCTCTTCTGCTTCTTATCCTTTCTTGACCCCTTCTCCTTCCTCCTTCCTTTGTGCATCCTTGCCTTCCGGTCTCCTTCCTCCTCCTGTCCTCTACCACCCTAATCTTGTTCCTCTTTATCTTCTTTTTTTAACTTATTTATACTTGAAAATCGAATCCTCCCTCGTCCCTCCTTCTGTCCTACTTCCTCCTTTTATCCCTAATCCTCCTTTACCCCTCCTATTCTCCTCAGTCCTCTTGCACTTCAATCGCCCGTGTTGCTGCTCTTTTAGCCTCCTCTCCCCCTGCTAATCTATTTCTCTGCTTCCTCCTCTTCTCATCTTCATGTGCAGCTTTTTTTGTCCCCCCCTCCCCTCTAATCCCTCTGCTTTCCTCTTCTTCTACTTTAGCTCATCTTCTCAATCTTCCTCCCGTTTCTTCTCTTATTCACCATCCTCCCTAAACCTTCTCCACCTCCTCTCCTCATCACATTTTTCACATTCCTCCAAACCCCTCGTTCCCTCCCACTTTCATCCCCTTTCTCCTGCTTCCTCAGCCTCAACCAAATGTTCTCCTATTCCTTATGTCTCCCTCCCTCCTCCTTACCTTCTAAGCTTGTTTTCAGATTTTTCCTCGACTAACTTCCCGACTTGTTGATTTGTTCTGCACTTTGCTGACTGATGTCTGAGTCCACGTTTGTTTACAGCCGAGCTGCTGCTGCTGTTGCTTTTTCAGAGTTTTTCAATGAGAGTAAAAAGTTGGCAGCGGTGGTTTTGTTGTTGTCGACTTGGTGTGAGGACTTGTTGTTGTACAAACAGTTGTTTATTTTTGGTGTACTCGGGCTGTTTTTGTTGCTCTGTGTCGCTGATGTTCCTGTAGAAGTTTGAACAATGAAACATGACGTTTCTGTGACATCAGGGTGGCTGTGACTGCTGAGCTTTCAGCACCGGGAGCTGTCCAGTGCGCGCACACACACACACACACACACACACACACACACACACACACACACACACACACACAGACACAGACACACACACACACACACACACACACACACACACACACACACACACACACACACACACACACAGACACACAGACACACAGACACACAGACACACACACACACACACACACACACAGACACACAGACACACAGACACACACACACACACAGACACACAGACACACAGACACACACACACACACACACACACACACACAGACACACAGACACACACACACACACACACACACACAGACACACAGACACACAGACACACAGACACAAACACACACACACACACACACACACACACACACACACACACACACACACACACACACACACACACACACAGACACACAGACACACACACACACACACACACACACACAGACACACAGACACAACACGCACACACGCACACACACACACACGCACACACACATACACAGACACACACACACACACACACACACACACACACAGACACACAGACACAAACACACACACACACACACACGCACACACACACACGCACACACACACACAGACACACAGACACAAACACACACACAGACACACAGACACAAACACACACACACAGACACAAACACACACACACAGACACAAACACACACACACACACACACGCTGCAGCTCCAAACAGGTTCGGCACCCCCTACTGGTGAACATGATAACTCTGCAAAAGCTTTCTTTCTCTCTCTCCTTCTTTCTGTCTTTTTTCTTTTGGTTTTGTTGTGAGTTAGTTTTATTTTCTTTGTTTCTTTCTGCTGCCGTCAGATCCAGACAGAAACATCAACATGAACCTCTCAAAGAAAAAGCGAGTTAAAGTAATCAATAAGAAGAGTCATGAGGTCGGGTGTGAACGTGTGGATGTGTGTGTGGTGTTAAAGAGTTCACTAAAACATAAATAACTTATAGAAATAAATGTGCAAACGTGGGTCAGGCTGAGAGTGAGTGAGGGGAAACCAGCAGGTCTTTGTAGACCACCAGGACCAGGACCTGCTGATCCTGCTGATGAGCCTGATGAGCCTCCTGCAGACATCACACAGACGGACAGCAGAAAGAGTCCCAGTGACCGGGTGACTAAAAAGTGAAATATAAAGTCTTTTCCGTTGTTGATTCAGATCCTGAAGTTGTAAGTGTCGGCTGTGGTTCTGATGGACTTTGGTTTCTTGTTACCGACAATTTTTTTACATCTTCCAAAGATTTAACAGAGAAATACTTTATTTAAGCTTTCTTTGCTGCATGTTTTGGGCTTTTCTTTCAGGGTTTAGTGTCTTTGTTGTATGTTATTGTTGTTCAGTCTCTGCTGGTATTCATTGTGAGGTTATAAACAAACAAAACGCCACATCGCTGCGCTGTGTCACCCTGGAAGAACAAAGCACGCGAGGGCTGTCCACAAATAACGTCTGAGTCATGACTCCGTCTCACGAGCAGCGTCCATGCAGCTCTGAGTCACGGCTGTTCAGACATGCAGGAACCCTCCAAAATAAAATACCCCCCCCCACTGAGTACGACTCATGCTGCCTGTTCTGTCCTCCTCGTCCCATCATGCTTCACTCCTCAGCCTCAGCTGTGCGGGCCGTAGAGAGAGATGACTGTACTCTGCGCTGTGTGTGTGTGTGTGTGTGTGTGTGTGTGTGTGTGTGTGTGTGTCTTGTTGTGTAGCTCAGGGGGGATTTCCCAGCTCCCCCCCCCCTCCTCTGTGTGGTTCAGCTCGTGTCAATCTGCTGGCAGAGATTCCCAGAGGGAAAGGTCAGAGGGCGAGTCCGCTGTGTGTGCTGCACGCTGAGATGTGGCCCCGGTCAAACCGTTTCTGTGACTGTGGATCATCGCAGTGTTTTTTATGCAGATCAATAAAACCCTCTTCTATCTGTCATCGAGCATGTACAAGCTTTCTCATTGGCTGCTCTGAACATTTACTCTCTGCTTGAGTTCCACCTTGACCTCACCTCGGAGAGAGTTCAACCAAACTTCACTGAAAAAAAAACCAAGCATTTAAAGGTCTCATCCTTTCCTGTCAAAGCTTGACCTCTGACCTTTTAGTATTCATCATGTCAGTACATTTTCTGCTTCCTTTTAAAACCGTTTATGCAAATTTTTAAAGAGAAGCAGGATCTGATTGTGTTCATATTGCTGCAGTGTTTTCAGACATCAGCCCTCGCTGATAAGTTTGTGTCCCATCAGAGAAATCCTGCTGGTGATCCGAGCTATCATTTACCACTCTCGCTGCCTCAGCAGAGCCAACAGGATTGTTGCTGACCCCTCCCCATCCGGGTCTTCACTATCAGACTTTGAAATAGTTTTTCCCCCCAAAGCCGTCAGACTCCCCAACATGCAGCGACTGACCTTTGCACTAATAAATGTAAACTGTGAATACTAGCTGCCACTTTAACTTCACCACTTGACCTTTTTTAGTCACTTTAATTTGTTGTTACTGGTTCACCTGATTCATTGCTTTGTTTACTAATGAAACTACCTTTAGCCACCGTCTTGTCATTGCATTTAGAGCGGTTTCACACGAGGCACCGGGGCCCGGATCCCAGTGCACTTGACCCCAAAGTCTGGTTCTTTTTATCAGTGTGAACACAAGCGTACTGGACTCAGGTACAGCGGCCAAAGTCCACTTGAAGAGGCACGTTTCATGTGTACTCGAGTACGGTCCGTGAGAGACGCAATCGAGCTCAAACAAGGAAGTGGACCGCTTTGTGACAGTTTTTACCGGGCAGCGGGCCGGTTTCATCCTTTGAGCTGATCGGTGCATGTTGAAGCAGGAAGAAGGTCGTCGTCCTCAGAAACAACAAAAACATCCACACAGTTAGCAGGATGGGAGTCAGTCAGCGAGTGGTTGCCATGGTTACTTCTTCTTTTTTTACAGACTATGTGCATACTGCCACCTGCTGCTGGACTGTGTACACATGGTGCTCCTCTGGTTCCTGTTTGGACATGTTCAGGAGTTCAGTGTGTCATCAGAGAAAAGATGGCGTCAAGTTGTTTTGAACGACCTCGTTACCCCGTCGTCGAAAAGACGTGATTATGGTCTCTGAGTAAGATGAGTGACCATGAATCTGTTTTGCTCTTTTGATTATGTCACAGAATGATTCTGCATGAATCCCTGAGCTATAGGAGTGTTTTTTTTTATGCTCAGTGATGAGCACATTAATTAGCGTTCACTCGTGCTGTGAAGAGTCTTAGCGTGCGTCATTATCACAAGCATTAGCTCGCTGGAAACCGTGGGCGGGAGGATTATTTTTTAGCGTTGCGTGTTGAGTTTTGGGCGACCTGAGAACACTCTGAGTTCAGCGACTTACATGTTCTGTCTTAATTCTGCTGCCGTGACACGCAGGCTGTGTGCCGGGTGTAACGCAGCTGGACGGACGCGGCGGCGGCGGTGGCGGTGTAGAGGGAGGATTAGGGACGGCTCATACTGCACTCCTGGGGTTAGGAATACCGCGGACGCTGTGAAATTAAACATCCCCGACTTGAGCCGTGCTAATCTGCTCCTGTTAACTG